CTCTTGTATCGCCTCATTTTTGTCCATTGAGAAAATGGATTGTTTATTCCCATTCTTTGCCTCCAGCTAATCACGATATTGTTATGACAGGACTGTGCTCTCAGCTCAGCAAGAACTTTCTTGCATAGCCTTATGTGAGGGACTTTGTCAAGCTTTTGAAAACCCAAGAATAACTCTTCACCCAGATCACTGTTACAAGCACCATACGCTCTCTGACTCCTTCAAATATCTCTAATACATGTAACCTCAGTGTGCAAAATTGTTCCATATGTGCCAAATATTATTTTTTGGTTTCAATTGGCTTGCTCATTAGAGAAGTCAGATGTACTCATCTGCAGCTTGTGGATCACCATGAACCATTTAAAAATTGGCATTACACTTGCCCCCTTCTGTTCCTCAGATATTCAGGCTTAGTAGCTTGCAATTTCATATCGGAGTTCACTTAGGATCTTGCGTGTGCACCATCTGGTCCTGGCAACACACTACTTTTCTTTTGATTGATTTATTCCAAAACCTGTTCTGCTGATGCTTCAGCTTGAGTCAGCTCCTCAGAGTATTCCCCATGAGCAGAGACTGGTACAGGGAACTCCCCACACTCCTCAGGGGGGAACATCAATACAAACAGACCATTTAGTTGTTCTGCTCTGCCATTATCTTTCTTTAGTGCTCCTTTACACCTCACTAACCTGTAAGTCCCACAGATCCTCTGGACAGCTTCCTGCTTCTGTTGTGCACAGATTGGAAGCAATTTGCTCATCAGTCTCCTGTGGTCCACCAGTCCCTGTCAGAGTTTACACTCTACCCTATTTTCTTCATTTGAATATGATTTCTATTTTTTAAAGGATGCGATTTTACTTCTGGTAATCTCTGATACGTAACTATGCTAACTTGTCCTGGGTCTTTTCTGAGCCATTTTCATAAGGTATATATAGCGCCTTAAATAGCTGCCACATAAAAGCTCTTTATCTTTTAACTGAAGCTTTTGATCAGGTCCTTCCCCTTGACATTATTTCCTTTTATGAACACAAAGTATAGTCTGGTAGGAAAAAAAGCCAAAACAACTAGCATAACACATAATTTTAGTACTCATTATTGCAGAGTGTCTCTTCAAGCACCGTGTGTTGCCCAGGATTTTATAAAAAATTGCTGCTCCGAGTTGCCTAATAGTTACACTTCAGTAAGAAATCACTTATGGAGACACTCATCCATTCCCACTGCACCCCTTTAATTAGCTATAATGCTTAATTATATGCATTAATAAACTGTAACCTGGAACAACAATTTATTCGTGAATTTTATTACTCTAGACATACTTTGAGCTTTAAAATTCAGTACAAAAGTAAGATTTCAAAAGCTCAGAACTGTTTGTCTAAGCAAACATGAGAGGTCAAACACTGTTTGCATGAAGGATGTTTTCCGCTGCTCTGCCCAGCTTTGGGATCACACTGCAGGACAAGGAAGTCTTGTTTTGCAGTTGAATGAGGCAAGAGCTCAGGGCTCTGCACTCCTCAGAGACACCTGTTAGTCAGACTAAAAGGAAACAGTATTTTGGAAGACTGACAATACTCTTCCTTGTCAGTTTTTTATTCAATGAATGAGAACTAAGAAAATCTGGCAGTGGGTCCTTGCACCTAAATTACGAGTTACGCTCTAGTTCTTGCATGAACAGCTATTGCAAAATTTAGTTCTTTGATGAAAAAGTACTTACAAGAATTTCCCAAATTCACCTAATTCAAGGAAAATCCCTATCTGGCTCATCAAGAGCATGGAAATCCAGCTGGATTGTAATCCATCTGCAAGTGTAAGGGAAGGTTTCTAACAATAGATTTTTCACAGCTCTAGATTCCTAACACCTGTCTCCCACTGGAATGACACGCTCTGCAGATGGCACTCGCTTCCCCTTACCTAAACAAGGAGCCCCACTGACTTGTTCAGCCAGAAACACGGGGTTTTTGATGACTGAAGCTGGGTAGGAAGAATCTCATGCTGACTGAAACCAAAGTCCATGTAACCATAAAATAGTATTTTCAGAAGATATGTAGCATCTTGAAAGTTTAACTGCATTTCCAAATACATATTTATGCTCACATAAAATTGACTTGTGCAAGGCTTGCACACTCAGTGGTGTGCAAACCCTTCAATCCTTTACCATATTTATCCATTTCTATTGTTGCTCTTATTTACAATGCACAGATACCTCCTGCCACTTTCTGCATATAAGCAGAAAACAAAAATATAACTTTACATGTACTTGCCATTTATCTTTAAAACAATTGCTTTTTAAAAATAAGAATGCAGCAATAGCCAAGATAGCTTAGATCAAAGATCTGGGTAACCCCAAATCCTATTTTTTATACTGGCTGCTAGTTCACTGAAAAATAAAATAAAATCAATGGAGCCAGTATTCAGCAGCAGGTAAACAGAGAGGAGTATAAAAAGAAGAGCAAACATAGAGTAGGCCTAGTAAATCTGCTCATTTTCTATAAATCGTTTATGAACTTGAAATGTCTTTTTTTTTTCTTCTCACATGAGTAGCTCAGCTGTGTCATACTGTCACAAACCTTCCATGGTGTTTAAAAAACCACAAACCCCAATATTATTAATTTCTCTTTCCTTCTCCTTTCAAAATTGAATAAAATCACATCCTTTTTCTGCTACTACTTTCAGTTACAGCGATTTTGTAGCTCTTTAAATACTGCTTAGATTGAGAGATGTTTTTGTGACAAGCTTTTCTGTTTAAGAGGAGGCAATTAATTTCCTTGAATTTAAGAACACAGCAGTGAACTATACGTGAAAAAGGTGCATTTGTAACAAAGTGCTACACTTACACAGTTCCTCAAAACCTCATGACTTTTTCAAGTAGCTGTACTAGTACTTCACATCTCTCACCAGAGACATTAACGATTTTATTTTTGGTCATGTTTTAACCACACAATGAAAGTAGAGTCAAATTGTTACATGTCCCAGTACAAAGGCTTTAAATGCAGAACTGTCATGCTTTCATTTGCCCTCTAAGAATGCATGACTACAAGAAAGAGTGAGCAAGAAAAGTCTGATGAAGAATTGCAGGACGTGGGATTCTGGGTTACGCTACAGACCACACAAAATTTCCTGATGCTATGCAACAGATTTCTGGTCATTCAGTAATTAGTTTGTAATGGTTAGCCTTAAGAAAGAAAAATAAAAACCCAAATGTTTTTAAAAGCATTCTTACTGTGTGATTCTACCACACGGTTAGCTCTACCACACAAGACAGCAATTGTAACCATGGCTTTTAACAGTCAGCCTTTGCTAGAGACTGCAGAATCCCAACGTCCTACGCAAACAGCAAATGAAGTACAACTGTAGATATTTAACACCTGGTATATATTAATGGATTGACATTCTGGCAATTTTTGAAGAGGTTCTCATTATTTTTTGTCTGCTTACTTCCATAAACCCAACATCAGAACTAGGAAATATATGAGCAGTTCTTACCAACTAAGAGGCCTCCATTTGAGCCTCCATTAATAGTCAACTTCTTTGGAGATGTGTAGCCTTCTTTGATGAGGTATTTGGCAGCACACTGAAAGTCATCAAAGCAATTTTGTTTGTTGGCCAAGATACCACCTAGCATACAAATAAAACAAATCAGTTGATGCCATAAAATCCATTTGATACCATCTCTTCAGAAGAACATGTGCAAAAATACCTGGGAACAATTCCAGTTTCATGAACATTTTAATAACTGATGCAGCTCATAAAGACAACAAAAATGAAAGACTCTTTCAACACACAGAGTATAAGATGGTTCTGTCGATAACTAATGCTTTCAGAAACTCTGAATAATACATACCTATACTTTGGAGTGAGTGCCAGGTAATGTTCCTAACCAGTAAAATTAAAGCTAAAAGCTTTGCATTGCAAAATATATACAAAATGACCACATACTCCACTTGATGTTTGATGCAATGAGACTTTAATAGCATTAAACTCAGCGACAGTTTCTGAAGCCAATAAAGCTTCAACTTCTAAAATAAGCTATATAAAATTAGCACTTCTAATTTCCTGGACATAGAATGTGTGGCTGGTAATTTACTTTTTTTTCCCATTAGTTGTTTTCAAAACAGATGATATATCGCTATGGTCAAAAAGGGACTTCAAAGGTGCATCTTGGTTTGAAATTTCATTAATTGACTATCAATATGGAAATGCTTAAGATGCTGCTATTCCGTTGAATGAAATTCCAAAGATGATCAGACGTATGAGGAATAAATCATCACTGAAAATGTAGGTCCAGATGACATAATTGGTAAGACTTCCAGTTGTCAAAAACAGAACATTTTTAGGGAGGGAAAGGGAAAGGGAAAGGGAAAGGGAAAGGGAAAGGGAAAGGGAAAGGGGATGGGTTTGCCCTACAATCTTTCAGTTATTTGAGTAGAATAATATCAATAGAAAACTCACAGCTGACCATATCCCATAATGTTCCCGCTTTAGATGCTTGTTTGGCAAGAGACTAAAACCGGTTTCTCCTTGAGGGTTATCCTACCTTAAGACCTGGTATGTTCTTTCTCAGGCAATTAAATGCCAGTAAGAAATAGGAACTAGGAGGAAAATCCTCATATTCCTGTAGCAAAGGCTGTGGTCCAGCCAGGTAAGAGGAGCTCAGTGGATGTAGAAGTGGAACTCTAGTTCCTTCTGCTTTGCTTAAAAGCTAGATGTTTATTCTAAGCTAACTGCCTAAGGTTCCCACTATGGCCCAGGACAATTAATTCTACCCTAAAATAAGTGAGATGAGCTATAATCTGGAGGTGTCTCTTTATCTCCATTGTCCATCCAGTGATCGCAAACACCCAGTTTACACTTGATGCTTCATTTCTGTGTTGCAAAAGTTTGGTAAGAAAATTCAGACATTTAGTTATACAGATCTTGCAGAACTGCGAGTAGTAAATTTTTAATTTTTTAACAACTACACATCATTTTTACATTTTCAAGACAATTGAAGAGAGACATACTGGGACAACGAAAACATCTTCAAATGTGTGGCAATAAAGGAGAAATAAATCTTACTCTTTGCTCAAAGTTCTGGTCTGGTGTAAGGTCACGATTGTACCTATACAATTAAACCGAAGCAAACAGACTTCTGTAATTGCTTCTGGACTTAACAAAGAACAGATATATATCTTACTATGTAACTGCAATAAAAGACTTGGGTCAAAATTAAGCAGGAAATAGGTGGACCAAAGAAGCATTATTATATTAAGATAAATTTTATTAAAATCTATTACAAACTAAGCGGCAAATTAAAATTAATGAAGGCTACTTCATCTTTAGCAATAATATCCTGTAACTGCAATCACATATAGCTTCTATTCACAAAACCATTAGATATTTAACTCGATTGTGAGGAAATGATCCAGACAAAAAGTTACTGCAGATGAAATGGTAAAACCAAGATGTAACAATAGGAGAATACCATTTTGTTTTATAAAAAGTTATTATGGATTACTCCCACTGCAAACTGCTGCATCATAAAACCCACTGTTTTGGTGCATTTGCCTTGCTGACATCTCCAGCAACTTATCCACCATATTCTTGGGATGTGAATAAGGCATCACCATTAAATAATGATGACTATGTTACAGAGATGAGTAGGACTTTCTCCAGATTTTTTCTCTGGTGAAGGTATACAGAAAATTGTCAACAATAAGGCAAGTTGACAAAGACAATCAAAGGATTAAAACAATGATTGGATGGGAAAAACATGGAGAGAAATACATCAAAGGTAGTAAGAAAAGGAAAAAAGAGACTGACAGAGTTTTGTAGTGAGTAACTTGGCTTCCATGCAGTATAAAAGTCAGCTTAAGGAAGTTGGACTCTCCCTAAGAGACTGTGGATGGGATGACACGTCACTGCACTTGTGGAGCTGATTGTTTTCACATGACATCAATCACATTCACTAAATATTAAAAAAGGGTCTATTAATAAATTATGCAAAAACAATCTGGAAGAGTTACATTCTGAACTCAAAAGTTCACACCTTTTGTAAGGTTCTGTAAATGTTTGGGGATTTTTTGATTCTGTTTTTTTACTGAATTTTTTATGTGATAACAGGAGAGTCTAAATGCTCAGTGCTGCTGTCTTGGGGATCTAGAATTGTGGGGCTGTGTGCACCTACAAATAATTAAAGAAGTAAAATGTGAAAAGTGAAAGCAAGACAGGTCTGCAATATCAATAGACATTCTTAGGAAAATAAGTTCAAGATAAATAGCTGCATTTACAAATCCTTAAGTTAGGAACTTGATCTTACTTAAAAAAACCCAAAAAAGAAACAATCCACAATAATTTTATTGGAAAATATCGTGGTTGTGCAAAAATATTTTTATGTAGGCTGTAGACAAAAATTATCAGATAACACTGGATGACATACAGTAGATCTAACATAAGAACAAGAAAAAAAATTACTTTTCTACAGAATAAGTAAAAGGCAAAAGGAGAGATGAGTATGGAAGAGGAAGTGAGAGGAAATGTTATAATTTTCATTGCTAAGCCTACAATTTTGCTGCTTTACTTGGACTGATTTACCTTTGTGCCAGGTCTCTCCATATTCACCACCGCCCCTGATGTTTGCCACCGCTAAAACACCCCCCAGGTGTCGCACAAAAATAAGTCTTGACACACTGAAAAAACAAACGGATAGAGGATTATTTTTTCATTTCCAACTGCTTCTATCCCTAACACTCTTACAAAAATACTTTGAGGGGAAAGATGTCTCCCAGGATTGATGATGGAATCGTGAATGAAGTCCCTCTTGATGTCGAACTTGAGCAGTCAGGCTTTTTTTCCAGTGGTTATCGACAGAAATGAAAACTTCTGCAGCCTCTGGAGAAGAACCAATTCTGGTTCATTCTTTTTACTTGAGTGCTGCACTTCAGAGGAGAGTGGTCAGTGGTTCTGCCTAACAGAAGACCCCCCAGGACAAGTCACCATTTTTTTTATCATCTTCATAGCCTTCAGTGTGGGGACTAAAGCTATGCAGTACCACTGGACTCCCATGGCTTTCTGAACTGCTCCTCTTCTGTGGGTCCTGTGCTTTTTCAGAGAGGCAGGGAAGGTTTAGCCCAAATGAAGAAAGCAAAGAATTGTCTTAAGATCAGCACTTGATCTTTGTTTATAAGCAGATATTTTCAGCTTCTGCTTAACACATTTTTTCTTTGATTTTAATAAAACTGTGTTTGCAAAGAAAAACTCTGCTACTGCCATTGTTTTGTGTCAGAGTCTGCAGTCAAGTTCTGGCCCATCCCAATCTTATTTATTTTCCACTTGCATTGCTAAATACAAAACAAATAATAAAAAATAAAATTAAAAGTTCTGCCTTCCTTAGTAGCTCTAGAACCTGACTGAAAGCTCAAGTAACTTTCTTTTTTTTTTTAAATGTCAAATTTAAAAGGTACCAAAGCTATTGCTATCTTTTTAAAAGGGACTGAAGTAATTTAAATTATATTTAACAATTGAGACATAGATCTCTCATCTGTTGAGGCAGTAGCTTAACATAGTAGAAGCTCCAGATGGCAAACCACACATATGCAAAGGAAACAAGTAAAATATTAAAATTTAATCCCAACAAGTATTTTTTTTCCTCTAGTAGGTTTGAATTTTTTATTTACTTGAAATCTTTGCTCATGCAAGGAACCACTGCCTGCAGAAATTAATCCTATTCAAGCACAAGAGCAAGTATTCAGCTTTTTTACCTTTAAGTCTCCTTGCTGCTTATCAGAAATGCCTTAAAAGATGGTAGTCCTACACTGTCTTTCATGTGAATGTAGTATCAAAACAAGCAAATTTTTCATACCTCCCAAAGCCATTATCTATGTACTGGAACTTGTTCTTGACAGCATATACCAAAGGAAACAACAAGAAAAGCAGAAGGATGACTGATACGAGATTTCTGTATTTTCATAACCCATCAAAACAAAAACTTTCCACCAAGGCTGCTTATCTGTAGCCATCAGATGGCTCAGGAGGCATGAATTATCTCTGCTTCCGTAAAATCAATTCTGAAGTCCATCACCGTGAATCTTTCCCTTAGATTGCTGTGACATGCTGATCAGATGCAAGATTGACATTCTATAAGCATGCTGTGCAAAGGTCAGAGAGCATTATCTGTCAGACTCCGGGATGCTTAATTTTGACAGGTTGCTACACAACTAATGTGGAATAGCTTGACAGTAGGATGCCTCATGAGATCATGGTTTCTTAATTTTTGGTATGTAAGAGCCACAAAACTTCCCAGAATATTCTGCACTTCTTTTCCCTGTCTCCATCCCAAACAAAATCAATAGAAACTTTTTGGTCCAAACTTACTTGATCTCCTAGAAATCAAAGGTAGCAAGTGTAAGAATTGCAGGTAAGGTATGGGTTTGCTACCCAAACAGATTGCCTGAGAATATTTTTAAAATAATAATAATAATAAAAATCCCACAACAGAGTCTGTCATCTTCAATCTTCTGAAAGAAACTGTGTCTATCTGAGGAATCAGCGCATTTATTCAGCAGAGAAACCATGAGCAACGCAAAACCAAGCTTTTGAGTGCACCCTGTCCATGGACTCCTCTAACAGAGTTGGTACCTTGATGATAACTTTCAGAGGGGCCTAAGTGACTTAGGATCTCACTGGATATGCAGCCACTCTTATTGTAGAAAGTGAGTCCCCATTTTTGTGAGCACACACACTGTCGTGCAGACCCTCAATGAGATAAAGTCCAGAGTTTGGTCACAATCATTATACTGCCCAAATTATAGTAAGGCTTAGTATATCTGCGCTTACTTTCAGCAATACTACTGTGACTTAAGCACTTCTGAAAACATTAGCCCATATACCCCATATAGTAACATCACTGGGGACAGACCTGTTGGAGAGCAGTGA